CATTTTGCTTCCGTCTTAATTCCTATCATTGTATTTCTCAAAGTTTGCTCAATTTTGTCTTATCTTAATTCAAATCATTTCGAAGTTCATTTTTTCCAACTTCAATTTTCATTTTTTCTTATTCATCAATTTAAATCATTCAATAATGAAATTTATTACAGATTTCGATGTAATTGCACTTGCTGAATATCAATTCTAAAATATGTAAAATTTTGAAACTGAAAATCTTTAAAGGCACTTATGAACTGCAAAAATTTGTTTTTTTCAATTCGGGAATTTCAAATTAGAATTCATTGTCTTCATATTTCTTATATACACCACTACTTTTTTGAACTTTAACACTTCCTTTGGCCCACTCTAATTATAAAGCATAAAATGGTTCAATAATTTTGAAGTTGAAATGATTGTTTATAAAATTGGAAAGTTTCATCAATGCAAAAAAACAAATTCTCGCGGTATAAAAAAGATTTGATATCAATTTGCAACAAATATCACATATAATCTTTCATAGAATGGGTTGTGTTAACAATTGCTGGGAGAAAAAGTAATGGCAATAAACTTGCAGTTTCTGAATATTATACAACGACTAATAACAGAAAGAGGAAAGGTCATAAATTAACAATTTTCGAAGAAAATTATTTTATCTTTTATCCCATTAATTGTCGTAATTTATAATAATGAATTATGAATTTTAATTATATATAATAAAGGAAAGAACAATTTTGGTTAGGTTTTTCATTTCTTTTATCCATAGGTGAGTGATGTATGTAAAGAACAGACTGTATTGATGAGTTTCATCTATTTGCATTTCCTTTTTTAAAATTGAAATTCATAAGAAAAGTGAACTGCAAATGAACGTATGATAATGAATTTATTGTTCTTTTTCTTCGGTAAGAATAAAGTAAATAAATTAAACGTCTGCTTCGTTTGATGTGTAATGATGTAAGAAAATGAAAAACAACCAGTTTGAAAGATATATGGAAAGTTGTATAACGTTGTAATAAATAAATAAATTGGTAAGTTGGAGTGTGGAAAGTTTTGATGAGTTCCAAATTTGAATCAAATTTCCGACACATTGGTTTTCACATTTGTTATCCGAAAAGAGATGAAAAAGTTGTCAAAATGTGAGTGAAAGTGCATGTCTAGAATGCAATTGCTAATTAAGTAATAAAGTACTAATTTTCATATCATTATTCAATAAATTGAACATTGTTATGGGGATGGTATAATTTAAGGAAAAAATTTTAAAAATTTTTATCATACAACTGTTCAAAATAGCTTCAAAATTATCCATGCCGAAGATCTCTCATGAATTTCTGAATAATTTTAAATAGAATCTGTGTTACCTTGCTTGAAATCGAAATTTATTTTGGCATTTATTATTATTTTTAATTGAACCAACCAATTATTCATAAACTGAAGTACTGATCTATCCAAACAATGTTTTTAACAATGTTATTCGGTACTTCCCTTTGTAAATTTTTGGAAGCTGAATTTTTAATGATATTTCTCATCTTTCGATGTAACTTAATCCGTTTCATTCACTTCCCATTATTGATATTACACTTTCTTTTTTATCTTTACCAGCTTGAATTTGCTAGCATCTTTTGAAGTATACATCATATCAAATGTTTTTGAAACAACTAAGAAAAAAGATTTCCATATGAACGTGGAATAAATTTTCGTAAAATGTGAAAATTTGTACATAAATGTGTTCCCAACGGGTATGTTATACAGCGAGGTGTAATTGCGACAATTTTTGATGACCTCTAAATGGATGAATATGTCAATATTAGTCATAAAAAAATGAAAAAATTATGTCACATTCACATATATATGAGAATATTCGACCTTCATCCCTCAAGATTGTCAATGTCTCGTTTGGATGTATTCGAGACAATTAACCCAACAAGAAGGGAAAGAACCTCTCTTCCCAACAAGAGGGCAAAGAACCTTTCTTCATCCCCCTAAAAGAGAAAAAATGAAAGAAAAAAGCGAGCAAATATCGCCTCAATTCGATTATTTTTGGACATTTTTTTTTCGCATAGCTCCATTTCTTCTCCTTTTTCTCCTCCATTTCCTATTTTCATTTCAATTTCTGAATTACTGTCCCTTTCTTATCCAAATGATTCAGCTTTGCCATAAATAAATGATATGATTTGATTAATTTCATTGCAGTCCTTCCTTGGATATTCCAACCATTAATCGATTCGTCCTCAATATTAACTATTCGAATGTTTACAACATTCAATCACTTTGAGAATATTACTACATCCTGCCAGTCATTATCATCGTCACCATCATCATCGTCTAAGCCAAATTGATAGAACGAACGGACGGATCGTTATTATCATCATTATCATCGTTATCACTAACATCTATAAGTGACAAGACGAGATGAATGGTTTTCATCGTTATCATTATCATTGATGTGTTCTATTGAGAGAATAAGATTTATCCATAGTTGCCCTTTCCAACAAAATATTATCAGTAAATTGATGACTGGAAGTAAAATTCGACTTCAATAAAATTGATTATTAGCATAGAAAAGAAAACAGAAGAACAAAGAAAGGAAGAAAAGAATAAATAAATAGGTAAATATATCAAAAAAAATTTAGATTAAGTTTTAAATTTTTTAAATTTTTGTTTTAAAAGTTTAGTGCTATTGTTATCGATCACAGCATACAAATTCGAAAGATTAGAAAGCTATTAGCTTTCAATTGTCGCAAAGATTTATCTATCTTTTCAAAAAAAAAGACTTTTCGAATACACGATGATTTATGGTCGATGGAAAAACTTTGCAAATCCAAAACAAAAAATTAAAATGAAGACAATTAATGTTGAAGGTGTTTGTTTAAGAGGGAAAGGTTGCATCCATCATAATCGGCAAGAATTCATATTTAACTTTCACTCATGTTTTTATTAATTTTTTTCTGCTTTTTGTTAGTTTTATTCTTTTAATAATATCAATTTTTCTCACAAATTTTTGGCATTTGAAATTTTGTATATTAACTGACCTTTTTTTGCTTAGAATATTGTAATAAGAAAAGCAGCAGAAAATGTAAGTACCAAAAATTGAAAAGAAAAGGAGTGGAAAAAGAGGAACAGTGAAAAAGAAGGAGAGATTAACTAAAGAGTGAAAAGAAAGAAATAAACGAAAATATGAATAGAGATCGGGAAAAGAAAGAATGAAAGCTTTCAAGCAATATTATATGTGTGTGTACACACGCATATAAATATATAGAGAGAGAGATAAACTTTTTTGAAATTGAATCATTTCAATTTCAGAATTTTTGCCATCGCAGAAGGCGTGGCAACGGCATCTGTGTCATTGGTGGAATGTGAAATGGTAAGGCGGGGCTGGAAAGCCTTGGAAATCGATATAAAGGAGACAAAGAACCCAGTTAGCTCGTCATTTCATCGACAAGTAGCACCCGCAGCCGCGACACAGTTGCATTCGCAGCCTGATCCGAGGGCCTTTAGGGCCAACTATTGTTTTATTTGGGCTTAATAAGGGACGATAAGGTAGTGTGGTAGACGGATCGAGTGGAGCAGTTTACTCTCTGTCCATTTTACTTCCGATCGATTACCGATTTGGTTTGTCGAATATCTGTCACACAACAACAACAATTTTCCCTTTCCTTGGGCAAATAATTCCCGGTTCAGTAATAAACGGTTTACAATCATTCCGTTTAAAATTCCGGGCATATTGTCTGCCGTCATATTTGGAAGAAACCTCAGCATTTGTCCTAGAGCAATCAACCATGACCATCATTGATACGATAGCGGTTAATTCCACCAATATTCAACAAACAGCAACAATAGCAACCGCTGAAACATGTGCTGACACCGAAGCCCAAATCATCAAAAATGACACCAAAGATGCTCTGATATCTCGGAAATTCGGTGTTTCGGGGCCGGTTACACCGATAACAACAGGAACCGTGAAGTTGGAAATTATGAAAGAGATCTATTGTAGTGGTTCACTTCTTGAAGAGGTCCAAAAAGCTAAAATCTTCCACGACTGCAAACATTTCGTCGATATGCCACTCAAAATTGACGCTGGTTAGTCTTTTTGGAAACAGTTTTTTAGGCCTTTTTCCTCAATACCATAACCTTAAAGATATGATAAGGAATGTGTGACCGGTTCAAGATTTTAAAGTGTTTTTTCTCCATTATATTGCCATATATTAATATTCTCTGATAATATTCTCTTTAATATGTTGCTAATTGCTTCGTTTATCCTGAAAAATGAAAAGATCAGAATCAAAAGTAGTATTATGAAGAGTTGATGTTTTTTAATCTTTGCTTTATACTACTCTTAAATGTTTAGCAGATATGAACTTTTAATTTTGACTTGCAATTGTTTATCCCTGTTAAATTTGCATAGATCATTTTTCCACCAAATTATCATCGATATATTCGCTCTTTCGTCGTATGCAAATTTGAGATGATGAAATATGCAGAAGAGGGAGAGGGAGGAATGATGGATAGATTAGTATCTCGAAGTGTGTGAGTAATTGTGAAATAAGCATTGATGGTGTAACAGATCAGAGATCTAATTCAGCACTCACACATATTCATTCTTGCAAAAATCAATTCTCTTCTGGCTTATCGTGAGATGTATTCATTCTCTCACAAAATCGGTTCCCTTCTGGCTTATCGTAAGGGTGCATCGTGGGCCATAACACGATGTATGGTTTAATGATCACACGTAATTTAGTCGGAAATTTAATTAATAAATGAAGTGAAGCTAAGAAGAGTAATCAAATTCCATTCATCTTTGTTGTTTCCCTGTTCATATATTAACATGCTTCGTTTAATTATTTTCTTTGTTTCTTTATTCCGATTTTTGAGGGATAATTGATCAAATCATCTAACCTTAATATTTTTTTCTTTTTTAATAATTTATGTAAAAATTTTGTGAATTTTAGTAATTTTTAAATCTGCTCTTCATCAAAATTGGAAGCCTTGCAGAAACGACATTGCGCGATTGGCACAAATTAATTGCATCCGGCCAAATTGATGAGAATTCATTGCGATGCTTCGTTGCAAATCATTTTGATGAGCCAGGTGGCGAATTAGATAGTTGTGAACCAAGTGATTTCGATCCAGAATATGGCAAATTTGAATCCATCAATTCACCATCATATCGGCAATGGGCTAAGGAACTTCATCGGAAATGGCCTACACTGTGTCGTAAGGTGAGCATCTTCCTTGTCACTTTTTCCAGTTTGATATTCAGGTAAGTGCCAGACGGAGTTTCCGAAAACGGAAGAGATGTGAATTTCCGTTTCGAAATTGACTTTTTTATTTCATGTTGGTTGGAAGCTTCTGGTTAAATTTTAGAAGTATCCTGAAGAAATTCAAAGCCAAGAAAGAAAATGTAATCTGATATATCGTTAAACCTAATTGTCGGTGCTTTATATTTTCTTCTCTCGGAAGCTTCCGATCAACTGTTTCTTGTCACAGTTAAGAGATGAAATTTGCTTAGAATGATTTGCAATGCCTCCTAATTTCTTCCTAATTACCAGAATTGTTAATGCTCTCTGAATTCTCCTCTGTGAAATGGATATTTTTTCACCGAGTTGAAGAAAATATTTTTTTGACGTCAGAATATAATTTTTTGTCCAACATACCGCTAAACATCATTAACATTAATTATTTATTACAGGGGAAAAAAAGATTACAGCCATTAAAATGGGGTGGGACAGAAACTCAATATCTCTTTTCCGACTTACTGATTAGGGGTTTTATGGTTACGAGAAATTTTATCAAAAAAAGAGTTGGAGTTGAACGAACTTCAAAAAAGTGTCTGCTGCATCGAAAGGTGTACAAAAGCCAAAAGCTGGTCCCCGTTTTATTTCACTGCTATTCGATTACGAAATGAAAGAAAATTCAAATTTAATTTACCTTAATTTGGACTTGAATAATTTTTAAATTCTATGGACTGAATAAATAACGTTGCCATTTCACCTTGCTTTGTTAGAAGTTTGGTGAGGTACTAGTGTAAGCAGACCAGCTTTATCATAGCTAAGATTGAGGAATAAATTCAAGTAAGTCGGAGAGGGATGCCATTTCCTCTTCCTCCTTCCCTTGGTGAATTAGATTTGATTAGATGAAAATTCTCCAAGAAGGATCTGATATTTCTCACCGCATTTTGGGACCTTTTTTACTTTAGAGTTGCTAATTTTCCCCTATATTGTATCTGCTTTTATCCCTTTCAATAATTTTTGTGTATTCGAAATATCTGAGTTTTTCCGCCAGTAATGCTGCTTAGTTTTGATGCTTTCGATTCATGCAAACTAGGGTGATGCTTTTCCGAGCTTCAGGTAATACGGGTAGATTGTTAGTGATGAATGTTTCGCTTTTTATTAATTTCGAAATTTCATTCACATATGTATCAATATCAGTATCTTAAGTTTTGAATTTATTTTGCATTTGGATTTAAGAAGTTTGTTTTTGCATGCTGAATTTGCAGTTTACAGCATCCACTAAAATTCCATTTTTTTTTGCTTTCTTCCTCTTCGGAGAAATTTTCTGGAAAAGAATTCTTCCATAGAGAAAAGCCTTTAAAGTTTTGATAGTTTCGGAAAAGCATCACCGAGTTGCTTCTGGATATTACCTTTCCGAGAGTGAATGACAACTTTTTCGGAAATTATGATCAGTCGCATAAAAAAAGAAATTCTTCGTGAAAGTGTTTCATCCAGAAATGAATTAGGATTTATGTTTGTTTCCTTTTTTATTTATTTTACAAATAGGAATCCCGTATGCCGTACACAAGGTTTACAATTGAAATTTGATAAAACTCTCCCTGGACTCCTTGAAATATTTTAGGAATTCCTGCTGCCATCATCATCTACATCATTCAGAAGCCCGATAAACGTACACCGGGAACGGTTTGAATCGCTCTTCTAAATGGTGCCAACAACAATATCAACAATAAACATATATGTACATAATTGTATATATATATATATATATACAAACAGTTACTATTTGCGTAATCAACACGAGATCACTACATTTCGGAGTTTCCCGGAATCCCATATCATCAACAATGAGCAATGGAATGGATTGATGCGTCGTCATTATCGTCCATTGGAAACTATGAGGATCTTAGAGATCACTTAGGCAACTAGGAATCTAGGCTTATCTTAGTTTTGTAGTTTGTTAGGAAATGCATCAAGGTTTCATCTAAATTCTAGGCTTCTCTTCAGCTTCTGCAGGTATTGCTCAAGGTTTGCTTTTTTATTCGTTTGATTCTTGTTTGCACCAACTTATGGAACCTTGATGCTAGATAGTTAGTTAATTATAAGGAACATAATTTTGCAGTTAGGGTTTTTTTTGTATTTGTATTTCTCTTAATTTTTAGACATTTTGAATCTAAGATTTTGAATGCATTTTTCTATAATACCACTATTAATGAAGAGATAGTTTAGTCTCAGATTTGTTTATGCTTTTGCTCTTTAGCTTTAAGTACAGTTACCTAACTGAGCTAAACAGTTTGATTTAAGACTACTTAAGGTTTTATTTTGACAAAAGGATGCACATGTTGCAAGAAGGAGGACTGTAAATGCAGTGCCGAAATTTCGTGCCAAAAATTTTATATAAAAATGTTTTGTCAAAAAGTATCGCACTTGTTAATGATGTTACCATGAGAGAGTAAGTGGAAATAATTTTAGGTGAGTGCTTGGTTAGCCTTGGTTTTTTTCCCAATTTCTTTTCTTTAATTAGTTATAATTTCAGGTGTCGGATCGCGTTATTGCTGATCCGGAAAAATTCTCATTGATTCCACTACCGAAACCATTTGTTGTTCCTGGTGGACGTTTCCGAGAAATGTACTACTGGGATAGTTTCTTTACCATCAAGGGTCTTTTAGCTTCGGGCATGCATAACACCGTACGTGGAATGATCGAAAATATGGGAAGTCTCATAGAAAGGTAATTTTATGTTTAATATATTTAGAACGTGTGACACACCGTTTGACAATTCTGATTTCGAAAAAGATTTGCTTTTCAAATTAAGTAAAGGATGAAATATTTATTGCTGCATACAATTGAAATATGTGGGTTTAAATTAAAATATACTCTTAAATTTCCAGATTTGGCTACGTACCAAATGGTAATCGCGTATATTATCTTAATCGATCTCAACCTCCGTTACTCACGTGGTGTCTCGCTGCATATTATGAAGCAACAGGTGATAAGGAATTCGTTTTCATCGGTGCTCGTTGGTTCGAAAGAGAATTTGAATTCTTTCAAACATATAAGTAAGTGTTGAAATCGAAGTGGAAACTACTTTATGTAGCTCACATAATCTAATTTAAATTTGCAGTTGGATTTGAAGAAAGAAATGTACTTTAATTATTGCGAAATGTTCCTTCCCAATTTTTCAGATCAATTCAACTTCCCGGTGTGATGTCATTGCTCTATCGCTACCATGTTATAGCCGTTGGTCCACGTCCGGAAAGCTATCGTGAGGACGTCGAAAGTGCTCATCATATCGAGGACGTCTTAGAGAAACAACGTTTATGGGGTGATATAGCAGCTGCGGCTGAAAGTGGACGAGATTTCAGCTCACGTTGGTTTTCTCAAGATGGGCCCGTGGCTGGTAAAATGGGTTCCACACGGTATGTTATTTTTAGTTTATTAAATTCTGAATCTACTTGGTGAGAATGACCTATTTGTCAACGTACGAATTTGTCAACCGATTCCTTAGCCGATTGTCCAAAAAAAACTCACTGCAAAATTTGAAAATTTGTAAAAATAGAATTTGTGAGTAATGATAGACAGAATAATTAAGTTTATTAGATTTGTATAAGATATAGTTATTTTGGAATGTACTTACAGGACAAGTTCGATCTTACCAATCGATTTGAATGCAATTATTTGTGGAAATCTCCGTTTAATGGCCAATTTGTATGAAGTAATTGGCGAAATGTCAAATGCTGAACAGTGTCGACAACAGTTCAGAAGTATGAAGCAGGCAATCCATCAAATATTCTGGAATGAGGAATGTGGATGCTGGTTCGATTATGATATCATTCATGGTTGTCATGTTAATCTATATATGGATACCAACTTCTTTCCATTGTTCAGTGGATGTACGCATGATGGTAAGATTTTTCGATTTATCTAATTTGTTGAGAAGAAATTGATTTAAAATTTCTGCAATAATAGAAAATATGCAAAGCAGTATAATAGATAATTTCAAAAGTTGATGAGAAATTAATTTTTACCTGTTAAGGCTTAAAACATTTCTTACAAAGTTCCCAAAATTAAGAATAGTAATTGAATGTATAGGAATACGGTGCTGTACGTGGCTTCTAAATTCAATTATTTAATGTAATGCGAAACTTGAAATTTGTCTTTTTGGATTAATATTTGGAACTGGGGAATTTTGGAGTACTTGACGAAACAGCGGACTTGAATTTTTTTGAATTGTGTAAATTTACTTTGTTTTCAGATTTTGATCCGCAGAAAATAGTATCATACATGACGAACATGGGCGTTCTAGCATTTCCGGGTGGTTTACCAAGTTCACTGATAGCATCCGGGCAGCAGTGGGATTTCCCCAACGCTTGGGCACCAACAACTTGGGTTATAATTCAGGGTTTGCGTTCCACTGGTCAAGATAAACTTGCTCGTCAAATTGCCGAAAAGTGGATCAAGCGAAATTACAGCATGTGGCTTATTTCTGGTGGACGGATGTTTGAAAAAGTTGGCATTTTTGAAATTTGCTAGGTCAAAAATGATGATTTAAATAAGGTTTTCTGAATACGTGAATTGCCATGAACTTTCAGTATAACGTTGCGTCGCAAAACAATAATACGGCTGGCGGTGGTGGCGAATATGAGGTGCAAGAAGGATTTGGATGGACTAACGGTGTTGTCTTAGATTTGCTTCTTACATATGGACCTGACCTAACCTTTAAATCAGATGATGATACACCTGTGATACAGGAAGAAGAACACTTTTCTTGCAAGGAACAGCAGCAAGTTTCTGATAATACCACAACCGCTAACACCATACTGGTAACTTCATCAATTAACTCTGGTCTCCAGTAAGTCAAAAATGTGAAGTAGATATGAATATAGAATACCACCACGTTCTGGCCTTACTGCATCATTTTGATACTGTATCTCTGTCAAATTTTTAAACAATTGCAGAATACAATTTAAAACGCAAAATATATAGAATTTTTTAATTTTCCGATAAATTAATCAATCAGGTTGTAGTAATTATTTTAAGATACTCCAGACCTTTTGAATACAGCGCAAGTTAAATGAGAAGTGAATATCAATAGTTAAATCATAATATCATAGAACATTGTGTAGTGGTTCCTAACATAAGAAAAAAAATCTTTTTGTTGGGATTGGAAAATTTTCAACTAAAATCTCTCCTCTCAGGAAAAATCCAGTATTTGGAAGTACAATCATTTTAAGATAAGTTCAGAATAATATTGAAGTATACACTGTTCTTGTGTAAAATATTCCATACTGATGTTTTTGGATGAAGTATTGTTACAGTGTCATGTCAGATTCTTATCATTATACTATCATCGATCACCATGTCGTAATCAACAGTATACAATTTAAAGAATTGAGAGGAGAGATAATTATATCATATCTTTACAGATATTGTATTCAGACTTTTTTGTATTCTTCGGGTTATTTGTTGCATGCGTTGTAGTGCTTGCTAAGAAAAATATTGCAAGTCTCATATTGTGTATCCTCCTGTTACTTTTGCGCTGTTCTGGAAATAGAACGTTGGTGGTTATAATGTTCCGTGAACACAAGAAAAGTAGTGCACTGATAAGAGAGCTCAATAACAGATTAGAAATAATTCCGTGAAAACGGTAATTGTGGAAATTAATAGAGCAATATTGGTAGGGAATCGATAAGGACAAGTAAAATGAATGTTGTTCACTGATGATTGAACAGATTGTGGTTCATGATGATTTGAGAATTACATGTCAGCTTCTTTTGCTGACTTCAGTTTTGATCTGTAAAATGTTTGCGTTCCGAAAGCATTCTTGCTATATCGTACAATTTCGGCAAAAATGTAAGATCAAATTAATGGTATTCTTCGACCAATAGAATGAACGTCAAAGTAATTTGTTAGACAGGACTTAATCCTTTCTAAAATTACCTGAAAATGATGGTTTGGGTATTTGGTGTTGTGATGGAATATTTGAATATGAGAGAAGAAATGAGCAAAATTGGTTGATGGAAATTAGTGAATAATAATAGAAAGTCAATCGCATTCGACGAAATCAGTTGGGATAAACTCTCACTTCGATAAAGACAATTTAATTTTCCATTTTCGTTAACAATATGGTATCCATAATCATTGTTTTGCTAAAGCTATTTCATTATCAGCTTTGTGTGTATAACAGCTACATCTTCAACAAAAGACACTAATTTAAAAAATCTTAATTCATATAACTTGGCAAAAATATAAATTATGAAAAAGCAAATCTTATAACTGAGACATATTGCATGCCAAAAGAACATACAACAAAGCAAAAACTGGAAGCTGTCCGTTTGATGCTATAGAAATGAAATTTGAAATGATCCGGCAAACGTCATCGATACCCCTATTCTCTTCATAATTTCATTATTTAATTTATTTATTCGAATTCAACAAATATTTTGTGTAGTTGAAAAAATTAACAGAAAATATTTAAAGTTAAATTACAAAAAGTCCTTCGCATCGTGCTCAAAATTAAATATTTTATGCATTGATTTCTCGAAATTTTGAAGGAATGTGGTCGCAATTTTTTTTTCGAAATCCGGCAACGAAAATTTATGAGTTTTATTGATTAACTTAATATATTCCAGATTTCCAAGTCTTTCTAATCTGCTTGACAGAGTTGCTGTCATTGAAATTTAATGATTGATTATTGGTAGTGTTAAATAGAATTAAAAATGTAGTGCTGAATTTCATGGTGGACTCGGTTTTTTAGGAATTATTGGATGCATATTGTAAAATTTTTTATATTCCACTATTTGTATTTTTAAAATTTTGAATCTTCAATGACGGAATTGAGTGAAACACACTCATTGTTTGTATTTTTAAGTAAAAGACATTATGTTTCTTTTTTGCGCTGTTCAAAAATATTAAAATTATAATTTTGTGCTAAATTTATGCTAAATTTTTCTACTGAACAAAATTTAAAATTTATATTAATAATTTTTATCTTTTTTCTAAAGTTTAGATTGTTTTATTGATTCACTTCATTTTTTTAATCCCTTTATTATGTGTAATTCGATATATTTATCCTAATCATTTCATCACCGTTATCATTATCATCACTATCATATCTTTATCAACTGCCATAGCAGTGAACTCTGTTTGTAGGTTAGAAAAGCAAAATTCCTTTATTGAAATTTCACTACGAAATTTAGATTCAAGGAAAGAAATTTCGAAAAATTGAGATGCGAGGTCTTAAATCGTGAAAAATTTCGAATGATAATAAGGATGACAAAATTGGAAATAAAACTTTCGTTTGTTTGTAGTTTAAATGATTATTTCATTAGCGTCACTTTACGGAGGGAAAATGACGCTTAGTCAGAAGATGGCACAGAAAATATTTATAACACTTCTCGTCCAGCACTCAGTTTAAAAATGTTACAAAATGACTTAATTATTGCCCTCGGGAATCCCGGAGTTTTTCAATGAAGGAAGAGATTGTTTTCATCTCAACACCTTTGAAACCTGAAATCCCATGGCCTCAATTGATCGAGGTGCGGTGGAGGATTGGAAAAGTTTTTGGTAGTTTTAGTTCGGTTGTTGGTGAGTATAAGTTTTCTTTTTTTTTTGTTTTTAAATATCTGGAAATGATTAGAAATTAATTTCCACACATGATTTCCCGTATTGCAATCCATTAAAGTTTGGTGAGAAACGTTGGTCCCGTGGTGTAGTGGTTAGCACTCAGGACTTTGAATCCTGCGACGGGAGTTCAAATCTCCCCGGGACCTTCGTTGTTAAACACTGCAACTTTTGTAATTTCATTGAAATTAACGGATGATCTTTAGTTTAAAAGTTTCGAGCTTTGAACATTTAAGTTGCAAGCCCAAATGCATAATTAAGTTTGACCTTTATTTCATATCCTGACGGATTTTGGCAATTTCTTTTGATCATTAAAATCTTAAAATTGAATAAAGTCAGTTTTGTATGGAATAGCGAAGTACTACAGCAACAAACCCAACCAGAACCTAAATAATGACCCAATGATGACCCGAAAGACACAGTGGAAGTATCAATCAGTATATTTATTCTGTAATAAACGATGACATATCGTGAATAATGAATGGTGACATGCCGTAAATAGTGAATGATAACATATCGAATAATATGTTTTATGACACGCTGAGGAGGTACTTTTGACAGACAGAATAGTCAATGGTAAATAAAGAATTCATTGTAAATATCCGGTAGAATATATTTGGTGAGGATACGGTTGATGATACATTACTGATAAAAGGGTTCGAGGTCAAGTTATGGAACTTCTGATTTGTGGTTAAAATTTATGATTTGAGGTTTTTTAAATTTAAGCAAATATATTCTATAATAAGCTAATATTACAAATTTATAGTGAGTAAATTTATACTAATTTTGCATGTGAAATGATATTACTGATTGTTATCAGTTAGATATTGGAGGGATTGATTGTTATCTGACGACTGTGTGTTAAGATTTTATTGCTTTGGAATAGTTCGGTAATTTTGATCATATAACTGAATCGTTTCCACTTATTATTGCTTGTTACTGCATCTTTTGAACATAGTTCATTCAATTTATTGGTATCCAATTAATTAACAGTAATTGAAAATGTATGCTAATTCTGTTTTTGAGTGAAAAACAATTTACGCGTCTCGACGTGTTTAATATTATGTAAAATACATATGCTAATTAATAACATAATTAATAAGATGGTGAGATCAATTCGGAATCATATGGAACTTGTTAAAATGCGAAATAAGTCTTAAAGAACTTATTAAATTTTAATAATTCTGGATTTCTTCTTGTCATGGCTATTAAGTCAACGATGTTTTATTGTTAGGCCAATTGTTTAGTGAGGTTGTTAGACCGAGTCGTTCAGTGAGGTTGTTAAGCCAAATTATTCAGTAAGTACCATTATTTATGTCAATTGCCTTCTCGAAAATTGATCCAAATGAGTAGCAGAAGCATTTTATCTATTTAAGTTCTTTTTTGCGCAATTCTGACAAATATCATTGACACAGATCATAGCATGAAAATCAAATTAGAAAAACCAATGCATTTTTTCCCTTTCAAATTTAATTGTAAAGAATTTTGATGAAAAGAATCCAATAAATTTAAATTACTCGACAATTTTTTCTTTTTTTTTTTTAAATTTCCTCTTGCAATTTCAGTTAACTTTCGCAAAAAATGTCCCAGTTTTTCACCTTGTCGAATTGTCATTGATAACGAATGAATGAGGGTGATAGTATCGGAGAGATGGAATGAACGTGAACATAACCAACATTGAAGATGGTATATACATACATAAGTGATAAATTAATGATATTCATTAAAATGTCGGTCACTAATGTGAAGACAAGGATGACGACAGCAGGTTTGAGGAGTTTAGTTGCAAATAAATGGTGGAAGTCATTTAATTGACCGTTAAATGTATAATTTTTATCCCATTCTGCATTCCAAATAAAAAGTATCCGCGTTACTTCCCGTCGTTTAGTTGTTTACAATCAGGAATTAATTTGTATTATAATTATTATTTGCTGATCCTATCACTGTTACTCTTGCTGTTCTTTTGCAAAAGTTTAGAATAGATGAGATGAAAAGGAATGAAAACTCATTTAAATGATATTTTATTTTTGGTATCAGTTCTTGTTACTGACGAACTTTTAGAAAATTTCAATTTGTCATTTGTCGGCCTATTTTTTTTAGATGATATTTGAAAGCATTTCATGCCAACTGTGTTGTTCTGTTCAATTTATCGTTCTATTTAGTCCATTCGTTCATTTCTCGTGTCAACCTATCGAAAAACAACCGTTGACCGCTTCCTGCGAATTCTTGAATCATTTGATTTTATAATATGTGGCTTTCATGTTTCAATTTTACTATCCCATACTATTTTTGCAAAATGCTATCATTGAATTTTACGGGAAATAATTCAAATACCCAATTTTAGCATTTATTTTGACATTTACTGATTTGTTGATCTTCGAGAATTCAGTTCTGGAGACTTTTTTGAGAAAAAAATTCAATAAAGATCAAAGCTGCGATGTACAAAATAATCTGATGAAAAATTAAAGTATTTTATATGATTCTTTGATTTCAAATGCATTCAGAAAAAAATGAATGAAATTATTAATGTTTGACATCCAAATTTACGCAACAGTTGAATCAATCATTTTTCAGCAAACTTTAGTTGGTGAGTATTTTGTGCAATCAGGCGGCAAATTTAGATATTACGCAAAAGTCATAGGCTAGTAATAGAAGAGAAAATTAGGTTTAAATGCTTGGGATAGGATCGGGATGAGTCATTGAAACGAAATTTATTATTAATTGCAATCTGATAAGCATCGGTCCTCCGACAAATTTCTTCCAGTCTTTTGATTGTCGCTGTTGTTATTGTGGCTGATACTGATATTGTTGTTGCTAGGAATTTTCTGATTAATTTCTGATTCAAATTTTTAATAGTAATATATCAATTCCTATTATTGCTAACATTACCTTGTCAATTAATTTTTTCATTTCAAAACAAAATTTTAATTTCGACGATTTTTGCCATAACTTTTAATTATAGAATAGTTATTTTAAAACGGTTTTTCATGAAGTGTAAGAATGAAAATTTTTAGAAATATGGGCACGATAAGTGCAATAATTATCATTTGCTGTTTGATTATTTGTGCTGCATTAACTGTAGTTATTATTCTGGTAACTATACCAACCGAAATAACCCCTCAATCGTACTATCCCGAATTACTGATTAATCGGGAAAGTACCAATAATGGCATCCCTGTAACTAACTATCTTTATTTTCATCCAAATAAAAAAATGCCACACAACTTGAAGAAGGATGTATTGCAAAATTCAACAGTAAGCGCAGATGTCGATGCAGTTTCTGCTACTACCATTGCTATTACCTCAGCTACCAGTGCTATCACAATAACCAAAACAACCATTTATACTACTACTTTTCCTAGTACTGCTGAAATATCAGAGCTTCCGTTACAAAATGATAAGTTGCCTTATCAGTCAGTTGTACCATCAACCACAGTACCGATAAGAACCTGGAAACCAATTCACAATAATTCATCACAAAGACGTACAACGGTGTTTTTAAGCACAAATATTACGATAACACGAGAGAAAAAAGTAACATCGAGCAGTCGACGATTAGCGACAGAATTGCGACATCGTTCCATATCGCAAGAATCAACTCCACGAAATTTACGACAGAATTTTGCGACTCTAATGCTGCATCAACATATCGAACAGTTACCACTAAATGATGATAATTTAGTGAAGAGTGGACAAGAAAAGAAACAAACGATGCAAATGACGCTGTTACGTGAAGTGACGTTTTCGAATGATGTAAAGGTGGTAGGATTAGCGATGCAACGTGGAGTTCTCTATGTTGCTACAAGTGATGGTCGAATTACGCTGATAAATCCAGAAACTAATGAACAGGTATGATATAATAATATCGGTCTTCTCTTCTGTCTTCACTTATGGATGAGTGACAGTTTCCACGATGAATGCAAATGTATGAATATATGAGGGTTTATGTCAAAGGAATTTTCCTGAAAGTTCCAAGAGACTCAAGCAAATTGAAAAAGCAGAAATATTTATTGATATCATAATGGAAACAAAGTATGTAACAAGATATTATGTATTGATGTTCTAGAAAGATTTTAGTATCACCGCGGAGAAATGTATGGGGCGGTCGTTAAATATCTGATCAGCAAAAGTTAAGCGAATAACGTGCAGCTAAATTGAATAAAATTAAGTCAATTTAACAAATGGTTAACTAAAAAATGACTAATAATTAGTTAATTGTGTCAACGATTTTTGTTTCTTTTTTAATGTCAAAGAAAAATATTTATTAAAAAAAGTAAAATTCACTTCAAACTACATGGGAAAAATCAAATAAAATTTTGTAGAAATAGCACTTCTCAAATTAAAACATTAAAATCTAATTTGTTCATAATTTTAATTTATTTATTGATGCAAAAATTTGGCATAATTAATGTTAATTACAATGTGACACATAATTTTTTGTATTTCTAAAAAATTTTGTTTTAGTATTTGAATTATTAGATTTTGACCTAATATTTAATTATTTTATTCAAAAAATGATGGAATTTCCAATATTTTATGTAAAATCGAATAAATTTTATCAGATTAAATATAAAAAAATCATGGAAGACTTTTTGGCTAATCGAATTGAACTACAAAATGAAAATGAAGTTTTACGATGATGGCCATTTTTTATCCAAAGTTTTTGCTTAATTTTATAAAAATAGATTTCTCAAATCAAAGCATTAAGATCTTACGTGGGGGTCACAAACAAACCAATTTGACTACGTTGCAAAAAGTCATTTCATATCGCCCGTCATTATCTAACAAAGAGTTTTTAGCGTAAAACTGCATTAAATTACTGGAAAAAACAAAATGGTCCAAATTATTAAGTATCAATTTCATTTCATTTTCGTGAATCCAATTTTAAATGATTCAACAAGCATAGCAATATTAAATTTACATTGCATGCAAAACAAACATCTCTAAAATTCATTATACAAGTGGAAGCGATAAATTAGTAATTTACCATTCTGGGCATTAATTTGTGGGAATTGAAGTTTAGTCAACAATTAATTAAACAGAAAATAAGTTTGCCATGTCCTGGTGCCAGTTTTTTGAATGAAATCTGCATTAATGATTTAATCTAAAAAGCTCAAAAGGTGTTGCTATTGCAAAATTAACAATAGAAATTTGAAAATATTTTGAAATGCAGAAGTTTTCAAATTGTAATTTTTAAATAAACAAATTGGAAATACAAGAACTTAGAGAATTATAATTTTTTCAGATAGAAACTATCAGTGTTGATGGTAAAATAAATCGAATGACTGTAACACATAATGTTGACATTATTGTCCTAAATGGTACCAGTTTGATATCATACCGACATGGCCAAAAATACCGGGAGATAAAATTACCAATAGTTTGCAAAAGCTTGTCTGCTTTTAAGGATGAGGTTGTTTCATTTTTATTATTTATTACGTAAGCATCGTTTAATTAAAGAGTTTTAATAGAAATTAAAAATATATTTCGATATGTTAGATTGTCAAAGAAATAAAAATAAATCTTCGAAATTGTAAAATTAATTAAAGAGATACAATGTCTCAAATCAAACAATTTCAAATAAAAATATACCTAATTATCGTTTTATTGTATCTATTCCGGTCGATTTAAAATCATTACTTGGCCATTTCATTTATTTAATCGTTGATAATTTGCGATCAACAACTTTAAGATAGGCTTGGGACGGATAATAACGCTTGGACGAAGTAATGATGTATTATTTGTATTTACGGATGATTTAAAACCGATCGAAGAAATATATTACAAAAATGATGTCAAGGAAACATGCAATTTTGCTATTTTATATCAAAAATATTATTATATAAGCTGTCAAAGTGCCATTCTACAAATTTCAGAAGTTAGTTCGTTCAAATTTTTGAATGCATAATTTGATTTTGATATTAATAAATTTAATCTCGGCCAACGTTCGTATTTTGATAATTTTACAAAAATTTATTGAATGAGAAAAAATTCCATGCTTACTTTTATTGTAATTCATAATAATAACAACGCCACACACTTAATTATTTTCAAATTTTAGCAGTAATCTTTTATTTTTTTGCAAAATTTATTCCAACAACTTTTTATTTTTTCATGAAGGATGGTGAAATTAAGAAAAAGATCGGTGCTAATAATGGAACTTTTTCGCTTGGCATAACAATTGATGATGAAGCTCGGATAATTGCAATTGTTAGAGGTCAACCACTTCTTCAAGTTTTTCAGGTTAGGATTTGGTCAAGGTATAATGCTAACATATGTGAAAATTTTAACTTAAATTCAAGATTAATTTCTTGAAATTCAAAGTATGAATGGTTTGCGCGCATGTAATTCTATCATCGCTGATGCTAATTATTGCTTTTATTTAATTTATCAACCCATCCAATTAAACTGCTTATTTTTTAGAACGGTGAACTACAACATAATCTATCGGCGGTATCCGTTGATGAAGTATCGGCAATCTGGTCGGAAGTTCTTTATGAGAAAGGCCGATTGCATATTGTGGATTATCTGACGAGCAAACTGAAAACTTTCCGCTATCCGATCAGTAGTACTGACAGTAATGCGTAACATTCACAGTATGTCAACCGGCCAAAGGTCAAGTTGATTAGTTATCAAACCACCGCGTCATCCTCCTCACCTTTCTAAGAGCATATCATTGTGAAAAGCAAACATGAAGGATCCTTTCATCCGACCTCTAATTGATTGCTTGTTAAATTAATATGTCAATTGGTGTGTTCATTAAAAAATCGATCATTAATTCATCAAATGTTTGATCTGAGAATTTGAAAATCAATCTGTCGAACATTCTAGCAAGTAAGAGATAATTTAGCAAAATCTTTTATCCAAGCATTAAATTTATTAAATTAGAACTGAAAATGGTTTTTCGTCAATCATTACGAAAGATTAATCACAATGACTTTTTTCTTTAAATTTCTTTGTCCCTTTTTTTGTTCTAAATAATTTATCAACTCAATTCAGTTTTATCATGTAAGTTTCAAACTCCTGTTTTAAAATGATAAGGATCAATATTTCACATTTTCACACTTTGAATTACGGGTCAAGCAATCTTTCTAATAAACTTTCTAGTTTTTCTTTTCTTCTTTTTATTATGGCTTACAGAATATTTGTTAAACTAAATTTCTAAATAAAACTCAATAAAATTTTCTTTTCTCGTCAAAATTTTTTTCGTTTTAAAAGTTTATTTTTAAATTTTTCTTCCATATTAAATGACATTTTGCTGCTAATTCTTTGTTAAATATATTCAGTTTTTTTCTCCTTCTCTCTATCAGAAATACTTGTAATTGTGTTCACAAATTAGAAAATTCAAAAAAATTTTTTTGAAGAAGGAAATCAACATTTTTAAAGAAATTTGAAAAAAAAATGCAGTGAGACTTTCTTTTTAAAATAGTCGTAGGTTTGCACAAATATTTTCTAGACTTCGATCAGATAATTTCAAAAATTCAACTTTTTTAAATACCTATCATAATGCACCCCTTACATTTCTTCCTCTGTATATACCGAATCAAAATAAGTTAATAAAGATCCGTCCATTTTTCTTAATTACGATCAATTAAAAAGATTCGGATTACCTGTCCGTCCCACCTTCATTTGTGTACTCTTTCAACTGCCACTGCTAAGTAATATGTAAATAAATATCTTTTGGTTCTTTTGGCATCGATAAAATAGTTTATATTTTTAGCGTTAATCTAAGCAAATACAAAGCTAAGTTAAAGAGAACTAAGTAAGCATGACATTGCTATGTTTTCCTCCTGGAAAAGTATCCGAAATTCCCGGGAAGGAGAGGAAGGGAAAAAGAATAGAAATGAGCAGAAGAGGGAAAAGTGGATTACCTGGAAAGGTTGATCTTTACGTTATTTGTCAAATCAATTTTTTAGTTTTAATTAAAATATTTAATTATGATTTAAAAGATTTAAAAGTTGTTTTTTTTTTTTGCTCGTATTTTTTGATATTACATACCAGCGGCGGAGAGTCTCCGGAAGTTCAAATTTCAAGTTCAAGTATCCGGAAGTGATCCGTTGAGAAAACATATTAATCCGTTCCAAATAATCTGACAATTTAAAAGTCTTTTACCGACTGATCGCAACGTTAAATCGATATCATATTAACGATTCGGTTTTTTTTTCTTGGTTTATTTCGGTTCGGTTTGATTTGGCTCATTCGATTCATTCTTTACGTCAAATTTGCGCAACAATGACCATTCCTATCCTGATCGGTCAATCAGGAAATTGATTGATTTTCTCCTTCCAATCAGTATCATTACCATATCCGTCCTTTTTTGATACATAATTTTATGTATATCATTGATTTATTCATGCGTTTAATAAATAATAATCAGTGTTATGTTAATTTATCAACACTGTTATGTTCAATAAATGAAATAAAAATGCACTTATTTGTACTATTTTTTGTTATAATAAATTTCTTTGCATGTGTTGTAATTTCCTCAAAATGTTTTTTGACAATGCAAAAAGCAAATTTTTTCTTCAATATCGGAAATTCGCATGGTTTTTTGATTGAACTAATTAATTTCTAAATTGTTGAGAGAAATATTTGTGCATATATTCTTGCTTATTCTTTTTCTTAAATTCCAAAATTATTCCTTCCAAATTTCATCTCAACATGTGATATCACTAAACCAGAATTCGTTTCATCGAGAAAATTAGCACAAATTAAAAATTTTTTAAAGTCAGAAATGATGATATTCCATTGTTTCACAAAGAGACGCTACGACCGTAAACGTTGTTATTTCCTGTTACGTTACTTTTTGGCGGACGATTTGGTGACTTTCGTGGATAATGATTTGTTTAGTTGGTTTGTGTTGCAGAAGGATGAGATTGAAGATGATGAAGTGGATTTTAAGCTTTTAAGTAATCACGTTTTACGTATCTCATGGCCATAAGTCAGAACGTAAGAATTTGATCTTTAAGAATTTTCTACTTTTTACTTTCTCTTTTACAACTGTATATTATCTTCAGCTGCAAATCAAAATGAAAAATGATCGAAAATAAATATTTCAAAAATTCATTTGATCACTAGTCGAAAATCTTGCAATAAAAACCTTTATGAACTCCGATTTTGTCTGTTATATTCAGCATCATACACATTTCGATGATCTGCTAATGTTGTCCAAATACATCTGGCAATGTGCCTGTTTGCGTTCGCATATAATATTCAAATTTATACATTAATACCACTTTTTGTATTATTTTTGCATCATAATATTGCTATTAAATAAAGTTGTCTGCAAATTGCAAAAGACTTGTCAGTAATTATTGGAGACTATAGTTTATTTGCACACGTTTTGTTAATTTCTAGATAATGAAGCAAGATGAAATATCACCAGAAGTAATTACGGAATTGATAAAATTTCTTTCACCGAATATAAAGCGCAATTTACGACAACAAGCACTGGACTACGTTATTGGTCTTTCAGCATCTGACCAGTTTAATGTGATATTTCAGGTTGAATTAACTTTCTTTTTTTATGAGGAAGGATTTTTGTTGCTAATGTTGCTGCAACAGAAGACATGTTTCAGCCCACTAATAATGTAAACTGCTGACTGGATCCAAATAAATGATAACAGCATTATAAATCTCCAGATGGTGCATATGCACTTTTGCTGTTTGCGTAGTTTATGGGGAGCTATTAGACTGAGATTTCAAAGTCCATATTATCTTTTGGCTGATACAAATACGCGGACAATTGGCAGAAGTACCAGAGTTTATTGTTGTTGATTCTATTATTATTATTTTAACTGCTATCAGTTTTTTGCTTCCATAAAAGTTTTCGAAAAGTGGTAATATATCGGTTGATTTTATTAATATGTACTACCATCAGTTTTTACTTTTTTATTTTATTTGGTAAATCGTTAGTTAGCTGGATGGTCTGATTATATTATAGCTATTAGTTAATAAGTATGATAGCATGATTGCATTGTAAATATTAGTTGTCAACAAAATGAGTGTTATATCCAGTGACATCATTGTGATTATTAGCGGAATAGCTTTTGTTGTTGGGGATTTGATTTTGTAATCATTAATGAGTTATATAATGTTTTATTAATTTTTCCGAATATTTGATTAACCGTTTATTTAGAAAGCAAAAGAATAGTTGTATGCAGAAATTCGAAATTAATATAATTTTCTGTAATTTTTTTTGCAGGCAAACGATTTTTTGTTGGGACAATTATTGTGTCAGTTAATCTGCAAAGACAACATAAATGGGGGTGATATACTTCCTGTGTTAATTAACGCAACTGCTATCGATGTAATTTGTGCCAAATATGTAGTCGGTAACACCGAAGTTATCCAACGATGTGTCGAATATTATAGGAATAACTGTGAGCGGTATTCACTGAACGCAGGAAAGCTTTTGTCCAATTTATCGCTACATTTTCCAGACATGGTTTGTTTTTTTTTTCTTTTTTACACAGTGATGTCATTGTTTTTATCCTGGATTGCTATATTTTGTGAATTCGTAGGTAGGTTGAGCTATTGTATATTTTTGTTCTCTAAAGATGAGTAACTTGAACTTGGATATGGTATTTTACCATCTGATAAGTTAAAGGAGCGGATTAATAGCTGGCATATTGTGCATGCATTTTGAGAGAGATTTGTATTTGATTGTAAACAAGTTTTATTTACAGAAAAAAATTCAAGTTTACGAAATCTTATTTTACATGTAGAGATTTATTTTTTTAAATTCATATATGAAAAATATAAGAATGGAAAATGGTTTTAAGTAGAAAACAGAATCGTAATGAGATAGGCACTTCGTGCTGTTTTTTATCATTAATATTTACTCTGCTTCATTTTTGTTAGCAAATAATTTCTGGATGTTGTCGAATATTTTGAACTAGTCTTCCATTCAAAGGACACGACTGAACAGTGCCATTTGATTTTCATATTGATTAGGGTTGTTATTTGATAGCTTCTGAAAATTTCATTCATTTTTTAGGTATGTTAAATTACTTTCCTATAATTTCCTTATATTTCAGTTATGTAATATTTTAATGAAAGAGTGGGAGGATTTTATTGCTGATATAATCAGTAAGTTTTTTGGAATTTTTCAATAGTTACTGCAATGAATAATTCTCATATAGTTTTCAATGTGATTAATTCAAATGGGCAAATATATGGATGGTATTTGCGGAGAATTATGTTTTTTCAGAAGTCTCACAATACTTATTGAAGTTTTAGTTAGAAGAAAATGTAAGGGATTATAATTTATGAAAAGCCAACTATGTTATGATTCAGTTATGTTATGATTGTTTCAGTTTTAATTATTTACTACAAAAAGATTTTTAGAAAGGTTAAATGATTCAGTATTGCGTGAAGATATCGATTATCTTGGTTATGTCCTTGTAAACCTTACTTCAATTGCAAACGTTCGTTGTTTATTGTGTAAAAAGTTTGTTCAACAAATACTACCATTGGTGGATTGCAGTAAAAGACCAAGGAGGTGTCTAATTGCTATTGATATTTTACGGAATATATGCTTTGAAAACAGTAAGTGTTGCATAATGCTTTTTCTTGCTAATTTTACT